TCTTTCTTTCTTCCTCTCTCTCTCTTTCTTTCTTTCTTTCTTTTTCTCTCTTTCTTTCTTAAATGCAGATTGATTTTATTTTTTTAAATGTCAAGTTAATGATGAAATATTAAAAAATTTAAAGCCATTATAAAGTCTCAACAATTAAAACATGACACCAGCACAGAAATAATCAAATAGGTCAATGAAATATAATAAGCATTCTAGAGACAAATGTATATATCTGCCTAACAATGTAAATGTGATTGAGTTGATATTTCAAATCAATGGGTAAAATAAGGCTTACTCAACAAATAAGTTACATGGATCACTATTACTTGAAATAAAACAAATATACAGCCCTATTTCAGACATTATACAAGAAATATTCAGGTGAGATAAAAATCAACATGTAGAATCTAAGGAGTTTTAGGAGAAAATAGAAAATAATATTTTTCTTACCCTGAAGTAAAACATTCAACCCCAGAAGCTATAAAGTAAAATATTGAAAATATGACTATATTAAACATTTAAGACTGTACAGTAATATATATAAAAAATAGTTAAAGGACAAGTAATAAAATACGAAAGTATTTGCAACACATCTAAAAAAGGGTTAATGGTTTGTTTGTTTTGTTTTTTTAGGGAAAAAATTATACAAAAATTTAATCAATAAATGGATAAAGAATACCAAAAAGTCATTTAAAGCTTTTAAAAAAATAGAAATAGGCAAGAAATATACTAAAATAGGTTTAGTTTCAACAAATAATAAAGGAACAATTAAAATAACACATCATTGTCACAATCAGATTAATAAGTATTAAAAAATATAGGTAATATCAAGCATTGGCAACTGTGAAAGGAACTGGGTATTCACAGACTTTTTCTTCATCTTAAAGCAGTTCCTTTAGCATATTTTGCAGTGCTGGTCTGGTGGAAGTGTATTCTTTTGGCCTTCTTTGTCTGGGAAACTCCTTATTTTGCCTTCCATTTTAATTGAGAGCCTAGCTGGGTAGAGCAGTCTTCATTGCAGACCTTTGCTTTTCATGACTTGGAATATTTCTTGCCATTCCCTTCTGGCTTGCAGTGTTTCCGTTGAGACATCAGGTACTAGCCTTAGGAGGGCTCCCTTATATGTTACTACCTCTTTCTCCCTTGCTTCCTTTAGGATTCTCTTTTTTGTCTTTGATATTTGCCATTTTAATGATGATACATCTTAGAGTGGGCCTCTTTGGATTCCTCTTGAATGGGGGCCTCTGTGCTTCCTGAACTTGTGTGACTTTTTCTCTCCTCCAATTAGGGAAGTTTTTCATTATCACTGTTTCAAATAGGTTCTCTATCCCTTCCTCATCCTCCTTCTTCTGGTATCCTGATTATACGGATATTATTCTGTTTCAGGTTGTCCTGCATTTCCCTCAATGCCTCTTCATTCTTTTTGAGTTTTGGGGTTTTTTTTTTCATTTTCTTGCTCTTTCTGGGAGCTTTTTTCTGGCTTGTCCTCTAGCTCACTGATTCGATCCTCTGCTTCATCTAGCCTGATTTTGATACCTTTTACTCTGTTCTTCAATTCAGAAATTGTCTTCATTTCCTCTTGTCTCTTATTGATAGTTTCTATGTCTTTTCTCATGCTGATATAGTTTGCAGTAAGTTCCTCATAGTTTCCCTATAGTTTTTGGTAATTCTCTCTGAGTTCACTGAGCTCATTGAGTTTCCTTAGAACCGTTGTTTGGAACTCAATATCTGGTAGTTTACTTGCCTCTATTTCATTTAGTTGTCTTTGTGGGGATTCCTCCTTTCCCTTTGACTAGATAGGGCAGGGATGTTTCTTTGTCTTCCCATTGTTTGTGAGACTCTTCTTTTTTTGCTGCTGTTTCTTAAATTGATCTGTATTGATTTCCTGACTTTGTGGTGTGAACTTCTATGGTAAGAGACCACTGTTTTTACTTTCTGGATCTGCTTCTGATGATGTCAGATGTCATCCCTGTGTGACCTTAGGCAGTCTGTTTGATACTTCCAGGAATCTTCTGTTTGTGGCTGTCTCCTTCGGTTGTTAATCTAGTCACTCTGCACTCAGCAGGCTTCCTTAGACAGCTCAGGGTGGGGCAGAGTCCCTCCTGGGGGCAGGGTTATCGGGTCCTCTCCCAATGCAGTTAGATTGTGCTAAAGCTGATTCTTCTGTCTCTGAGGTTACAAGGCTCCTCTCTCGCTATTGTTCAGTTGTTTGTTCCAGGTGATTTCTCCACAATTTAGTTGTAATTCCAGTTTGGTCCTGGGAGGAGGTCTGTGTGACTTCCACTCACTCTTCCGCCATCTTGATTCCCTTACAACGCTTTTGAAATGTATATCAATACACCATAATCTTGGTCAAAAAGAAGTCTCAGAAAGTTATAATTGGTAGAAGGTAAGTAGGCTGCATGTAAAAAAAGTTTAAAGACCCAAATTTTATGAAACATAACAAAAAATACTCAATTAGGTAAAAGAGGAAATACATCTTGCAGTCAGAGGCTTTAAAAAAAAAGAAAAAGAAAAATGGTAAAAATGGAAGGAGACTGAGTAAATATGCATAAATATTTGGGGGTTGAGTGTGGTGGGACAAGTGAAAAAGAAAAAGTAAAAGAATTCATGGACACGTATCACAGGGGGTCATTGCAGGTCAGGGGGTGACGGGTGGAGGTTGAAGAGGATATAAGGGAAAAAACAATAAAAAATAAAGTATTAAAATGATGGTTAAATATTAGGAAACCTTTTCATGCAATTTACTGCAACAATGAACAAAAGCAGAAAAACTATTTAGTTATATCCATCAATTATTTTAAAATGGAATTTGAAAACACCCAGCAGCTACTTTTAGAAAAACTCTATGAAACAGATAAAAGTTGATGAAATATAGTCTCCAGAAATAGCTAATACTACTGTAAACATTGAAATGATGAGTCCATTCAAATAAAAAAGTGATGTTTACAACTACCACAATTTGCATACACACACACACACATCTACACGTACATATATATGTTTAAGCTAATACAATAGGATGAGAAGATGAATTCACTGTATAAATACTAAAGTACATTATGTGATATAAGAATATATATGGAGAAACAATAGAGACCTAAATAAATTCCCTAAGAACTAAAAAAAATTTGTCGAGAAGGCTGAATTTTAAAAAATGTACATAAAATGAATACATTTTATTTGCAACAACATATATTGAAAAGAAATAAATACTACTTCAAACACAGTAGTTAATACACATGTACATATTTATAAACATTTAAAAGTTATAAACCTATATGAAAAAGCTATAATGTATTATTAAAGAAAATTTAAAAGATCTATTTAAATGGAGATATAGAAGGTGCCCCCAAATAAGAAAACATAGGAGTTTTAAAATGTCAATCATTTTGAAATTATTGTAAATATGTGATGCACTTGCAATCCGTAATCCCATTGACACTGGATAAAGTAATTTAAATATATATGTGGCAGAACAAATACCTGAGTCAAGCAAAGTGTAAAAAGGAAGTAAATACAAGAAGATTTAATAGGTTTAAATGTTAAAAATATAGTAAGATACTAAAAGAAAGTAGAAAAATACTTTCAGCACACATGTCTAAGGGTTAATATATCTGAAATACAAAGACTCCAGTCTATTGACAAAATATGACATATAATCCCAAAGAAAAAGGACCTGACCAGTCACTTAGAGAAAAGAGAATACAGTGGTTCAACCACTTAGAAGGCCATTCCATAGGATCTATAACAATTAAATATTAGGACCCTTTGTCTTAACAATTTTACCTTTTAGCTTTTAACACAAAGACAAACGCTTGTATATATGTACAAACATAAAGAAATATATGATTATTATTATTATTGCAATTTGTTGGTAACAGTAAACAATTAAAAACTACATAAATGATTTAAATGGAACATAATATAAAAATTATGGAATATGGATTCTGCAGAGTAGTATGCAACTTTAATAAGAATGAGGTAGACCCATAGGTTTATTAATATGAAAAAAAACCTCTAATAATTTTAATGTTAAAATTTTCAGAATGTAGAATCCAGAGACATATACAATATAATCTAATTGTTAAAAAAAACAAGACACAACTTAAGTATGTAGGAAGGTAAGTCATCTGTGTAAGTGCATAGAAGAGACATAAAACGCTAGGCCCACATCACTCAGCAGGCCCAGGACTGGGTGCTGGAGGGCGTGGGTGGTGAATAGGCCTGTTTCCTTCTGGCCACGTCCCTGTCATTTGAAATTTTATGACCAACAATGTATAATGTATTTCTTTTGTATTTAAAATCAAACAATTAAACTTCTTAAGAAATGTCATTTCTGAACCCACTACTAAAGAAAAATGTAGGATTTCTAGCCTTTTCCCTGCCAGAGGTAGAACCCATCCAGAGCAGGAATTGAAAGTACAAATGAAACACCAGCCTGCACTGGTCTTTGTCATGTCGGTCCTTCCTCTTCCTCTGACTCCCTTAGACCAGGGTCCCTGGAGGGAGAGCCAGACCCCCAGCCTGAGACAGGAACAGGCCCAGTGCTGACCCGTCCCCAGGTCAGGGAGGAGACCAAGGCTCCTAGATTTGAAGAGTCAGACGCTTACCCTGAATTTTATATTTCCTAAAGTACCCTCTTTGGAACGACCTAAGTGAAGGTACAGGGGGCCTAGGGGAATGAGAGGGTTCAGAGGTCATGAGAAAATAATAAATCTCTTTCTCAAAGTGTCAAAAAGGACAGCCCAGTCCAGGTGGCCCTCCAGCTGAGCAGCAGGTGTGATACAAGGGTCCTGTGAGCAGTGGCAGCTGCGCTCACACTGGTGTCTGTCCCTCTGCAGGTTAAAGATCTGATTTCATCACATAGTCCTGCATTTCACTACACTGCACGTGAGGGTTCTCGTAAAGCAGGGCTAAGGTCAAGGTTTCCATGAGGGTCTAATGACAGGCACGAAAGCAGCAGCACAGCCGGAGAGGAAGTTAAAGGAAGGAAGACAGAGACTGACCTGGTGCTGAGGTTGCTGCCCCCAGAAGCCATGGTCCTTGCCAGGACGTCTGATCCCTCTGGTGTCCCCTGCCTGGTTGCAGCCTGGCTGTCCAGCCCTGAGAAGAAAGCCTGTGACTCCACTCATCCAGAGTGGGATCCACCCAAATGGGGAAAATAGAAGTGAAAGTAACTTTCCAGCGCTGTCAGGCACTGCCTCTGTCCTCCTGCGCCCCACAGTGGCTCTCAGCCATCAGGACATGCGGCAGCAGGAATGGAGCTCAAGGAGGGATAGTCAGGACCTGGAGGGCCAGGAGAGGGGGACCCCCAGCAATGAGCAATATTTGCTCCCAGGAGTCTCCTTGCTTGTGCAAAGATACAAAAAACATAAGTAAACCCCACTTTCTCACGGCCCCAACTTTCTGAGAGGCGCAGAGGAGCGGGGTTAGGTCTCCGTGTTCAGACCCAGGGCCGGAGAAGCGCCATCCTCCGAGCGATGGGTTCCGCGTTTGTTCCCCGAGTCCGACTTCCCCCGGCGGGGACTAAGGGTTCTGGCCCGATTACATGTCAGATGCAGGGGAGGTTCTACCCTCTCTCCACACACGTTCTTTCTCTCCCCAAAGGAGCAAACGTCAGTCTGGACAGATTCCATACACTGATGGGGACGTTTCCTCTCCAGAGCGCGGGGTCTCAGTGTGTCCCTGACGCTGCACACACACGGGGCGCGAGGGAGGGGGTCGTCTCTCTTCCTCTATGTCTCTCTACCTCATCGGTCATTGTGGGTAGGAAAATTAGTAAGTGGAGCCTCCGCTGAGCACAGCTGTCCTCTGTCCCTGGCCTCCATAGTTCACGGGACCCAGACAGGGTCTGACATAGCTGACACTAGATTTTTCCGGTATCCGTCCACTCTCTCCTCTCCATGGGGACAGAAGGCAGTCTAGGCCCCCACTGTGCTGGGTGCTGGTATGAATGCACCACCTTTTCCCCGAGTCTGCTTACAGTCACCATGTGAATGAGAAGTGGATAGCAGTCAGCTGGGTGGGAAACCCACAGGGGGCGGCCTCAGGGGTGGACACGCCCTCAGTGGGCCGGCCCTGGCAGAAGCGAACGGGGGCACCTGTGGGGGGAAGAAAAACTGGACACGCACCCCGTTCTGCCAACAGCAGTGGTTTCTGTGGGATCGGGGGGCTTCTGTGCAAAAAGCAAAGATTTTTGATTCAGAAAACAAGACCATACATACCCGGGTTAGGAACCGGACAAGTTCATCTTCAGAAGCAGATTTACCCTGTAACAGTCCTGCTGGGCTGGTGTGAAGGAAAGAAGGCAATGCCTGGGGCATTTTCCATGGGGGCAAGGGGCACTGACAACAGGGACCATTCCTATTTTCAGGGAAGTCGCCTGAGCTACGGGGTCTGGAAACCATGACAGCAGGGAAGGCAGTGACTGAGGAAGCCCACGGGGCACAGGGCAGAGTGGATAAGGGTAGAGGCTTCCTTACTTCACCAGGAGCATCTTCTATTCAGATGTCAGTAGTGGACTGAGCCTCCAGCCTAGGAGACCCTGTGGGGCAGAGGTTTGCCCCTGAGATGGTGTAAGGACTCTGGAACTGAGAATTCTTGGGCAGGAGGAAGCTGCAGCAGCAGCCACTGCAACCACTGGGCTGAGGATGGAGACCCGAGGCGCCTCTGCGGATGCAGGGATGGAGTCCGGGGGACACCTGGACCTAAGTGGGAACACTCAGGCCCCGTACCAACATCCACTTCTAGGAGGTGGCCCCTCAACCAGCAGGACCCCTGGCCCCTCCACCCGCCCTTCTTTCTGGGGAGACGCTCAAGCTGGGAGCCCTGAAGGTGAGTCTGCTCGTGGTGGGTCTTCCGGGGCTCGTCCTGCGGGAGGGGCCGGGGCTCTGTGCTCCCCCAAGCTCAGGTGCACAGGGACCGGGGTCTGTGGGGTGTGTGAGGGCTGGGGGTGGTAAATTGGGGCAGCTGAGGCCTGTGGATTAGTCCATTTGCGGGGTTCAGATTTAGGGAATCGTTTTTGGCCCACCTCTAAGCCACGTCCCTTGATCCAGCTTTTAGCAGGAAGGCAGCTGGGGGTTTTCTCTCCGTCTGTGCCCTGCTCTGCCTGTCAGCTGTTTCAGAACTCACATCGCGATACCGGGGGAGAGTTCATACACAGAACTTGAGGTTTTTCTCTGTGACTTCCTTCCATCTGGGTTTTCCACCTTCATCCCCAGAGAGCGTGGTGGCCATGGTTTCTTCCTGGCTATGCTGAGTCCAAAAAAAAGATAAACAAGAACTTTCTGGAAGGTTGGGGCACCCATGCACGCCTGTGGCTGCCCCCAGAGTGAGGTGACAGGAAGCAGGAAACATCTGTGCTGCCCCTGTCTGTGCATCACTTCACCTCCAGACTCACCCAACTTTTGCTCACCTTCCAGAAATCTCGGACAGTTGTTCCCCGACCATTGTCCAGAATTCCTAGATGTTTTCTGAAAGCAACAGGTTGGGTAGTAGCTCACTCGTATGGATCAGAAGCAAAGCTCTCTGTCCCCACCTAAAAGCAGTGGACCAGCCCTGCCCACTCCCAGGCCCAGCTCTGTTCTGGCTCCTGGAGACCCCAGGGGTCCCGTGCCCTGAGCCGCGGGACACCACAGAGGAGAGATGCTGCCGTGCAGAGCGTCAGGGGCATGTGTTTGTTAGGAGATATGCAGCCACATGCAACGACATACACTTTGTACTTCTGTGCTCACAAGAGAGGAAAAAAACAACAAAACATGCCTACTTAGAGCAGGCTTGTTTCATAAGCAAAATAACAGAGCAAATAATATGCCTGGAGAAAAAACATGGCTTATTCTAGATTTTGAGCTGGAGTTCATACTTACAAACCATCTGTACATATGAGACATACCAGTTATTGCTGAAAAGCTTAAGGTTTTTTTTTCTATGTTAAAGAAGGAGGTTGAGTTATGGTTGTTGAATCTGGTTTTTGCTTCTAGGACTTATCTACGCAGCCATCTCTTTCCAAGGGATTTGGGCCCCTGCCTTCTCTCTACCTCCTTCCCGCTCTAAATTCCCTGTGCATGGAACAAAGGAAGAAAGAGTACCCAACTGTGCATAGTGCAGATTTAGGTCATCTTGCTCTTTTGTTTTACAAACTTAATTACATTCCTGTTCCTGTATTTTAGCCTGGAAAATGCACTTTAGCATTTCTTTTTTTAGTATAATATTTCTTTGACTTAATTTTTTTTTTATTGAATTGAGAGAGAGGAAGGGAGCAAGAAAGAGAGAAATCTGTTTACTGTTCCATTTATTTATTTATGCATTGGTTGGTTCTAGTATGTGCCCTGACAGGGGACCAAACCTGCAACATTGGTGTGTTGGGACGATGCTCAAACAACCTGAGCTCCTAGGCAGTGCTAGTGGGGATGAACGCCCTCAGCTTCCGTTTTCCTGGGTAGGTCTCTTTCTCCTTTAATTCTATAGGGCAGCTTTGCTGAGTACTAATCTTCACAGCAGCTCTTCGCTTTCACTGTTTTCAATACATCATCCACTCTCGCATGATTGCAAAGTGTCTGTTCAAAAACTGCTTGTAATCTTTTGGGGGATCTGTTGTATGTACCAAGTAACTTTTCTCTTGCTACTTTCAAAACGCTCTCTTTGTCTTAAAATTTGACATTCGGTTACAAAACTTGTCCATGAAGCCCTTCTAAAAGGCAAGTCAGGGGAGAGAAATGGCGGAAAAATGGGGACAACTGAAATTGAACAACAAAAAAACTTAAAACTAACAAAAATAATAAACTTCACCTATGTGGGCCAGTGGGCTGTAAGAACATAGATGACCATTTCTTTCCCCAATTTTCAATCACTGTTCCTTTAAATAGACAATTTGTTCCTTTCTTTTTCTTTTTGACTTCTAGGAGCACCATGACGCATATATGTTCCCTTGATAATGTCTCCTAAGTCCTGGGGGCATTCTTCACCCTTTTTCAGTCTCTCTTGCTCCTCTGAGTGGATGATTTCAAATAACCTCTCCTCTAGCTCACTGGTTCTTTCTTCTGCTTAACTGAGTTTGGTGCTGAAGCTTTCTCTTCAATTCTTCCATGTCATTGTTGTCTTCTTTGGATCTAGGATGTCTGTTTCTCTTCTTGATAGTTTCTTTTTCTTTCTTGAAGTTCTAATTTTCTTCTTGCATTGTCTTCTTATTTAATTTTGTTTTCTATGAGTTCTTGTTTTCTTTCCTGAATAGCAAACACATCCTTAAAACGCTGCTCAAATTTGGCCTCCAACTTAATTCCCATTAAGTACAAGGCATGATCCTGAAAAAAATGACAAAAATAATGACACTTATTATCACTATCATTAGACACCTTGCAATTTGGAATGGCCACAACTCTTGCCTAAAACACAATTGAATTACATTAACCAGGTGAAGATTAAAAGCTCATATGGCTAAGAATAATTTCTGTGTCCTGAGTGCACAGTTAGTTACTATTAACTAGGCAAGAATGGAAAATCATTACCATGCTTGGGGACTCTTATTCATTTGGTTTTAGTTCTTTACTTGAGGGATAATTAGAAAAGTAATCTGAAGCTTTGTAACAATAACACATTACAGAAGTCTAAGTACAATCAGTGATATTTCTCTCAAATTGTCATTGTATTTCTCTCTGCTGACTCCTGTTAACTATGTGGTTCATTAACATACAAAGGAAACTGGAGTCTGAAATTTCTGAGATATTGGATTAATAATATCTGGGGCAACATAGGAAGCAATGTGACCTTAGGACGCAATTCACTTCTGACTTTGTTCAGAGAGGGGAGGATGCTCTGTTCTCAGTGGGCACTTCTTGCCTTTGAAGGGAGGAATGAGCGCTCAGGGGTCTGAAGCTTTGGTTGCAGGGGCACCAAGGAACTCACTTCTATGCTCTGTCTTGAATTTTAAAAGCCACTCGCTTTCCAATATCTTGCTTACATAGGCTTGTTATAGCGTGAGGTAAACTGTAAAGTTTCCATACATCAAAAAATGAGGGCAAAATGACTAAATGGAGAAAAAAAGGAAATGGAAGCAGGAGAGACACTTACTTTATGAAATGCCCTGTGACTCTGAAAGATGAGGCGCATGTCCCTAACGAACCCCTCCACGCAGGGGTAACAGCGCTCACGTAGATTCTTCCTGATTTTCTTCAACATCATAGAATGATCCATGCCTTTAAAAGTCTCTAGGGGCTGGAGAAAAAAAATTAATGAGAGAATTTGTGATACAGTGCAATGTTCGCCTTGTTTGGATTTCTGCAAAATCCAGCCCAATGCCAGGTACAGATAACAACAGCTCCTGCCCCCACTCCATGGGTTTCAGGTCACAAATCCCACAAGATCACAGGCTAACACCAGGTGACAATGGACAAGCTGTAATCATGGTTTATTTTTATTACTTACATAATTATCTTGTTGAATTATCTCAAGACAGCAGCTGTCTGGATGGCAATAGATTTCCAAGAGGAGGAACTCGCATTTCTGCAAGAGAAGGAGGGTTTGAATGAAAAGTAACTTAGAGTGAATGACCCATAGGTATGCCCAGGCAGGGGCATGTCCACACTAGTTTTCCAGCAGTTTCCTCAAACAGGTAGGGCTCTGGGAAACAGACAAGTAACGGTGGAGGGATTTTTCCCGCATGCCAGTCCCAGTGAGGTTTCAGGGTGGATGAGACCAGGACAGAAATGCAGACACCTTTTGGCATCATGTCCCTGACCCTTTAACTGTTTGACTTCTCACATGGGAGTGGAAAAAAGAACTTTCCAGGTTCAAATCAACTCACCAGCTGCTCCTCAGGCCCTATCGGTCTCTTCAGCACCTCAGATTCATGGTAGACTGGCTGCCTTCCTGCAGGTTCCTTTATCCTGCAGAGGGTGCAACTCCACGGTCTCCTGAATGAGCAAAGCATAAGTGAGCAGGGCAACGTCTCAGAAACAGCCACCGTTCCCGGGGCTGCCACTGTTCCCCTTTCAGGAATGGCTGAGGGACAGAGACTGAGAATGAAGGGGACACTCTCCAGAGTCTCCAGGTCTGCCATGTAAGGCCTGAGATGATGACCTTCCTCTCATCCAGGATACCAGCGAGGGTTCAGTACATACAGGGAGGTGTCAGGGTAAGTGGTGGGCTCTCCTTTCCACGTCTGAGCTGCTGGGAGTACCAGGCCTGCCCACCAGGCCTGAGTGCCAGAGACGGGACCTTAACTCCTAGTGGCCTAGGGCCTCAGTCAGCCACTTGAGAACATGGCAGAAGTTCGTGTCTGTTGCCTTTTCTAAATAAGCAGACAACATAAACAGCTGGCTTCCACTACCGTGACCCAGAGTCCATGCTTAGGAAGTTCTGGAATGGACAGCAGTGATTTGCTGGCAAAGAGCCCAACCACTGGCCTCATCCTCCCCAAAAGAGAGGAGAACATTCCCCTCCTGCTGCCAGCGTCTTTCAGCAGCTCCTGGACCTTACTGCTGACCCCGGACCTCCAGCCCTGCTCTTTCCCCACCAGAACAATAGGAAGGACCCCCAAGGGGAATGTGCATGGCAGGAGGAAGGACCCCATACAGAGACGGGGGGCTGCATCCCACAAACCTCTTAGTGTCCACTGGTGGGAGGTGACAGGACCCATGAAAGACTCTTGAACAAGTATCACAGCGGATGAGGTCTTCTCCATACCAGCAGACCTCACATACATCTGACGTTTCAAGCTAGAAGGTAAAACAATGCATCCACACTGAGACCCCAGAGGGCACCACTCTTAGATTCTAGAATCACAGCCTTTTTTAAACCTGGAAGAACAGTTATGTGCTTCTGAGTGGAGATTTCAGAGGAAGAATTATTTTTCTCATTGAAATTTAGAAGGGACTTGTGTGTCAGACCAGGAAAGTTTTTTCTGTAAACCAAGAGGTTCTAACACAGAAAGGAACAAAACTAGACAATGATTTCTACAGAATTGAATCATATAATTAACTTGTAGATAAACCAATGTGCAGTAATAAAGTGTTAAATCCATTTGCCTACAACACAATGGCCAAAACGACCCACAGAAAGGTGATATACTGAGAAATTAATACGATGGAATAAGCTTCTAAGAAAGCATGTCGTCATCTTGTTTTCTTGGCTGGAGGCTCCCCATGAGTTGAAAGGCCTGAGAGGGGTTCGTGGACTATGGATCAGAGCCTGGAGGGCCCCTGGACCTGTGACAGTGTCTCAGCTCTGGAGAGACCGTAGGCACCAATAGCCGGGAGATGTCAAGAGGGATGGCGCTCTTTGGCTCTGGAAGCACAGGGAAGATGCCACAGGACTCAGCTTGGCATGCAAAATGTGGAGGTTCCATCTGTGAGTGGCCAGGGAGAGTGGCAATGGCCTTGTTTTGCAAAAAGAATGGTGAGTCCCCACCCACCCCCACAATCAATGAAACTGGATTTCTTACAGGCTCAACATGTGGCCTTTAACCAGATTTAATTTAATTGGCAGAAGATGAACTTTGACAGTATTTGCATCCAAGTCTTGTAGCATAACTCCTACTCATTAAACCCAAATAAATTTATAGAGCAGATATGAAGATATACCGTGTTATATACAAACACATGTATTCATGACAACGAACTGGCCTGTGATTGAGCTTTTTGTTCATGAAGAAAATGTGGTGATGGAGTAATATGGAAGCTCGGTGTTATGTGCTGCTGTGACATCTGATAAAATTGAGAGGGCCTTGGACACCTTGTCTACATGCATCCCTCCCCACTCTGCTCCCAGAGATAAGGTCGCTCTGTTAACAATGTTCCTAGTCAAGGGACCACTTGTAACCCTGCCCACCTGGGAATATCAGGTTTCAGTTCCCTGTGAGCCATGGAATCTTGCACACAAGCCAGACACAGCCTCCCACAGAAACCAGGGGCCCACCCTGCCCCATTCAGCCCTGGTTGTCTAGTCAGTTCCTGAGGGCAACTTGGGGAAGGCCTGCGGGGGTGGGGCACTGCCTCCCTTCCTGGGTCTGGCAGTATATGTGAGTCACAAACACCTGTAAATCCATCTGTCCAGTGACAGATGGCAATACTTGCTACCACCCAAAATGTCCATGCGATGAAAAGGAGGTGATTAAAACAGGAAGCCAGTCACTGAAGCAAAGTAAATCATATAGTAGGAAATTCCAACTGTGAGATCTGAGTGAACATTCTCTAAAGGCTACAGAAAAGCAAGTCAGTTAAAAACAATAGTAGATCCTTGAAGATTCAAGTATGGAAAAATTATAGGGCCTCAAAGAAAACAAGAATAAAGGTGAAAAAAAATTAAAATTAAAAAATAAATAAATAAAACAAGAAATCACATTTTTAAACAGATAATCAGCATTTACATGTGAATCATGAACAATTAGAAAGTATATCTGCCTCTGGTTGCTTTCTAGAGTCTGCCCTGTGTGAGGATCCAGATAGTTTGAGAAGCACTTGGGGTAGTTCTATCCCAGATGCAAACATCTTGTCTATCCCACAGTCTATTGGAGAAACTCCTACCCTCTTGTGACCATCTGCAGCAAGAGAAATGAGAATCACTTGGGGACTGGAGTGCTGAGTGGGAGGAAAGTGGGTCATTGAGGAGCAGGAGGAAATAGGGATGATAGTGTTCGCATTTTTCTGCTACAGATATTTTTGATCACTCTACACACAAGTGGTGTACCATTATGACTGTGGAACAGTCAGTAGGAAAGCCACCCCCATCCATTGGCTAAGATGGAGGCAGCAGGAGATTCTTACACTGAGCATGCAAAAAGATAGCCAGATAATTGGAGAGAAAAAAGGCAGAGTAGCAGCCACAGACAGTAGATCCCTGGCTAAAAGGTCTGGCGACACTTGAGGACAGACTGGGGACAGAAGCTTTGGGGAGAGAACGGAGAGAGTAGCCGGCGGGATCCTAGTGCGGACTCCTCCCAAATACGGCAGCAGCATAAGAGGACCAAATAACCCAACCCACAGGAGGGACTCTGCCCCACCCTGAGCTGTGTTAGGAAGCCTGCTGAGTGCAGAGTGACTAGATTAAAAGCTGGAGACAGCCACAAACAGATGATTACTGGAAGTCTCAAACAGACTGCCTATGGTCACACAGGGATGTCATCTTACATCATCAGAGGCAGATCCAGAAAGTAAAAACAGCAGTCTCCTACCATAGAAGTTCACACCACGAAGTGAGGAAATCAATACAGATCAACTTAAGAAACAGAAGCAAAAGAGAAGAGTTTCACAAATAATGGAAAGACAGAGAAATACCCCTCACTCAAAGGGAAAGGAGAAATCCCCACAAAGACAGCTAAATGAAATAGAGGCAAGTAAACTACCAGATAATTGAGTTCCAAACAACAGTTCTAAAGAAGCTCAATGAGCTCAGTGAGCTCAGGAGAATTACCAAAAACTACAGGGAAACTATGAGGAACTTACTGCAAATTATATCAGCTTGAAAAAAGACATAGAAACTATCAATAAGACACAAGAGGATAGGAAGAAAACAGTTTCTGAATTGAAGAACACAGTAGAAGGTATCAAAAGCAGGCTAGATGAAGCAGAAAATTGAATCAGCAAGCTGGAGGATAAAGTAGAAATAAGCTCTCAGAAAGAGCAAGAAAATGAAAAAAGACTCAAAAAGAAAGAAGAGGCATTGAGGGAAATGCACGACAACCTGAAACGTAATGATATCCGTATAATAGGGATACCAGAAGGAGAAGAGGATGAAGAAGGGATAGAGAACCTGTTTGAAAAAGTCATGATGGAAAACTTCCCTAATTTGAGGAGAGAAAAAGGCACACAAGTCCAGGAAGCACAGAGGGCCCCATTCAAGAGGAACCCAAAGAGGCCCACTCCAAGACACATCATCATTAAAATGGCAAATATCAAAGACAAACAGAGAATCCTAAAGGAAGCAAGGGAGAAAGAGGTAGTAACATATAAGGGAGCCCTGGTATGGCTAGCATCTGACTTCTCAACAAAAACACTGCAAGCCAGAAGGGAATGGCAAGAAATATTTCAAGTAACGAAAAACAAAGGTCTGCAATGAAGACTGCTTTACCCAGCAAGGCTCTCAATTAAAATGGAAGGTGAAATAAGGAGTTTCCCCGACAAAAGAAAGCTAAAAGAATATACCTCCACCAAACCAGCACTGCAAAATATGATAAAGGGACTACTTTAAGATGAATGAAAAGTTTCTATGAATACCCTGTTCCTTTCACAGTTGCCAATACTTGATATTACCAATATTTTTAATACTCATTGATCTGATTGTGACAATGATGTTATGTTAATTGTTCCTTTATTATTTGTTGAAACTAAACCTGTTTTAGTATATTTCTTGCTTATTTCTATTATTTTTTTAAAAAGCTTTAAATGATTTTTTGATATTCTTTTTCCATTTATTGATTAAAGGTTTGTAGAACATTTTCCCTAAAAAAAAAACAACCTATTAACCATATTTTAGATGTGTTGCATATACTTTTCTATTCTATTCCTTGTCCTTTAACTTTTTATATGTATATTACTATATAGTTAAATGTTTAATATAGTCATATTGTCAATAGTTACTTTATAGCTTCTGGGTTTGAATATTTTGCTTCAGGTCATGAAAAATATTAGTTCTATTTTCTTCTATTCTTATCTCACCTGAATTCTTATCTTGCCTGAATATTTCTTGTATAATGTATGATATAGGGCTCTATATTTGTTTTATTTCAAGTAATTGTAGTCCATGCACCTTATTTTTTGAATAAGCCTTATTTTACCCATTGATTTGAAATATCAACTTAATCACATATTACATTGTTAGATAGATATATACATTTGTCTCTAGAATGCTCCTTATATTTCATTGATCTGCTTGATTATTTCTGTGTTAATGTCATATTGGTTTAATTGCTGAAACTTTATAATGGTTTTAAATTTTTTAAATATTTTATAATTAACTTTGACACTTAGAAAATAAATAAAATCAACCTGCATTTAATAAATAAAAAGAGAGAGAGAGAGATGGAACTCCTACCTTTTGTGACAACACGGATGGAACTGGAGAATATTATGCTAAGTGAAATAAGCCAGTTGATGAAAGACAAACACCATATGATATCACCTATAAGTGGAATCTATTCAACAAAATAAATTAATGAACAAAATAAACCACAGGCATGGAAACATGGAGCAGACCAAAAGTGACCAGAGGGGATGGGGAACGAGGACAATGATGGAAAGAAGGAGAAGGGACTGGACAAAGAACATGTATGAATGACCCATGGACATGGACAGCAGAGTGGGAACTGACTGTGGGAGCCGGGGGTGCGGGTGGAACGGGTGGAGGAGGGCAAAGGGGTAAAAATTGAGACAACTGTAATAGAATACACATGATTTATAATTTAAAAATAATGATAAAAAATGAAAAATGAAAAAAACAAATAAAATGAAAGGTACAGGAATTGGAGAGGAAATGACAAAACTTTCAATGTCTGCTTTATTTTATTGCTTAAAATATCCATGAGATCAAACTCTGAGACATAGGAATATTAGTGCAAGAACTATCCAATTTTAAAATATAACAAACATAGCAATAGCTAGTAAAATATGAAGAAATCAGAAAAATATGTATATTTCAATATGTAAAGAATTTGTGAGTGAAATCAAAATGGCATTTAAGGGCACCCAAAATAATTTCAGAATGAAGAGATATAACCTGTCCT